GACCTGGTAGAAGGGTATCCCTCTTTACATGACGGCACAGAACAATTTTTTAACGTGGTTTATCATAAACGAAACTTGTGACGCGTATTCATGTAATTATTTGATGTAACATTTATTAATAATTAATAAAATCATGGAAATGTAATACAAAAACCGCGAAATGTCCTATAGCACTTGTGTAAAATAAGCATGACTACTGTTCGTAGCGCGCTCTGGTGGATGCTACAAATTTGGGACAATTATTTATCTGTACAGCTGGCTGTGATCGGTGTCCTTACTCTAATTTTCACGGTATAGTTACAATTCCCGCGGTTGTTTATTCCAAGTCTCGGGCACGCTTCGTGTTGAGCGCAAAACAATATTTGCCGACATGCATGTTTCATTAACCGCGATAAACCTATACACTCGACCAGTACATTATCTCAAAATGAATGCGTACTACACTTTATTAATGCGTGTGTACGCCTACGACCAGGTGTTCACGTCATCAAGTTATTATTATTATTTTTAATCCAAAAGATTAACATTTAAAATTATACTATACAGTACATGTACATGTGAAAACACCTGTGGAGTAGCAGAGTTACTATGTCACTATGTGGAGTTGAATTACCTACAATCTTTTTTGTTTTGTTGAAATCTACTTTGTAGAATAATGAAAATCGAATAATATAATAATGCAATAATTATATTGTAAAAAGTTGCTTACGAAATTTAAAAAAAAAAAAAAATATGAAATTTGAGCACACGGATAATAGGGGGAAATTCGACAGTAATTCAAGTATCTAACTATTAGTTATAATATTATATTACTTTTTGAATACGTTCGTTCGTTCCAAAGACTATAATAATTATTTGAGATGAATTCGAATACTCAAAAGAATATTGTTTGGAGTATTCCACGATAATAATAAACCGATTTTTAAATAAAGTATCTATGTGCGTAAAAATGTATGAGGTTTTTTCAATTTTTTCGTCTGTGAAAAAAAGCGTATACAAAATATAAATATGCGATAGAAATACGATAAACAATTTTCTGTATACAACGGGGAAAACTTACATTTTTGAGTGTTGTAGTTTGAGTGCACTATAATATACAATGTATATTATACAATACATGTGTACAATTAAATAGTTTTTTAATTATATTATAATAATAACGAAAATTGTAAGAGTACAAAGACGTAATAGATTATACAATAAATACAGAGAAATTAAAATGTTTACGAATGCCTATATTGAGTCTGGTATTGAATTTTCGCGATTCAATTTGTGGAGCAAATTGAATGATTAATTTATAGTTTCTTTGCACTATACCTATACTTATTTGATAAATAAATATAAATTGGTGAATTGTGGAATTCGATATTCGATTATGAGGTTTTAAAACATTTTAGCAATTATGCGTTGATTATCTGACAAGTCATTATGCCTTTGTCTCAACGTAATTGTCAAAATCAAATTACATATGGATAATAATAGATGTGACAAATGCAATACTATTGTGCAACGAAATACCTATAAAGGAAAAAAATGTTGGAAAGGTAGGATGAAATATATAGTTGTTAATTTATATCTGTAAATAACGATAAACTATTGTTAACGAAATACGATTCTGAGCGATGTTCAGTTATTAATGTTTAAAAATTCCGTAATTTTTACGATTTTCAAAATTATTTGATTTTTAAAAGTCTTAAAAAAAAAAAAATGATTTTATCATGCTGATTATTATTATATTATTGTATAACAGCTTAAACTGAAAGGTGTTAACCTCAAGAAAATAGACTATTTACATACTTTGTAACACAGCTAGACCACGGCATTCTGCACCGTTGTGTTTGGGCATTCGTGAAAGATATTGCTTACCGATAAGATAAAGAGCTGCAACTCACATAATATGTTAAAATATCATGACAACCACGGATAAACAACTGTTGTGGATAGGAATTCTTGTCAGTTATAAATTAAAGTAAGTACTCACCGACAGAATAGCGAACTAAAACTCGCACGGTAAGTGTAAAACTAAAATTGTACTAAAAACTGTACAAAATACATATTTGACATACTTCACACCATGGTTTAACCAGTGTTGTGAGCGAGCGCAAACTCGCAGGATAGGTGTGAATCTTATAGAGATATATTTTTTATATATTTCGCATCACGGATAGACTATTGTTATGGGGAGGTGTTCGAGAATGTTCTAAATTGTGGTACCCACTCACAGCCGCAACTAGAGGACTAAAAACCTCTCTTAAATCAAGTCTTTAACAAGTAAAAACTAATGAACTGATATCGATCAATATTAAAAGAGCTTAAGATTCCTCCCCACCTCCCAAAAAAAAAAAAATATTTGTTGGTTATCGGTGCCTACGAAACTCAGTCATGAGATAATGAACTAAAACTAATAAAATAGGTTAAAACTACACGGAAATACAGTAGTGACTTGTTTCGTATACTGAAAGTAGATCACTCGCTTTTGGTAGTCTATGTTTGAAAAAAGATTAATCAAATTATTCTCCGGTGAGATAGCGTACTTAAATTCAAAAAAAGATTAAATTATTATGGGAATAAGCGTTTTACTTAATTCGCGCCATGGGTAGGCGACTGTTATAGGCTAAAATCCGAGAATTTTTTTGAATTTTTAACTCTATTGATCAACACAATATAACCCATATCCTTTACACAGAAATATAATAAACGCTGTGGATAGCACAGATAATTCAAAGTTTTTAGTCTCGCATAAATTACCTTATCATTAATAATAGTCATCATTTCTCCTACAATATTCCTTATCAGATAAAAAGTACATATTTTCATAATTTATTTTATTGGCGCTAATAATTGGCTTTCTCAGATAATATAAAATTATTAATTCATAAAATAAGTATAATTCGTATAGTTATAAACAGTATGCGAATAAAAAAATCAGAAATTATTTGATAATTGTAGACGACTAGTGAAGTTTCCACACCAAAAGATCATCGATGGGCATGCGATTAGTAAGCAGGGGTTCTGACGTCAAAGAATTGAATCACGCAATGATAACTATATGACAATTCCTAACTTTCCTGGTATTATCAATGTTATTGAAAAAAAAAAACAAACCATAGAAAAAGCGGTTAAAAAATATAGACGTTTCCTGCAGGAGAATCGATAAGTCAATTTTGTATTAAATTTATTAATGTTATAACCAAAACGTATCCAATATTAACTTTGAAAATGGAAATTATTTTTTTAGTTTAAAAAGAAAACCTAAAACATTGTGACCCCCCCGAAAAAATGTCCATCTTTTTTGATTACTATAATGGCCAATCGGTTATTCACGATATTAAACAGATTCCCGAGTTTAGATATTACAATCAATATGATCAAGACGTGATGTTGATCTTGAAAATTGCTATCTCTCGAATAAAAAATCACAATAAATATTTTGTACAACTGTAAAACGTAAACGTATTTTTTATCTCGTACATTTTTAACTAAACGCGCGTTCTAAGTTTTATTGCGTAGATTATTTACCGCACGGGAAGAAATGCCCGGACATTAATTAAGTTGTTAATTCAACGAAATTAATTTTACTCTGAAATGTCTGTTTTGTTGATTAATAAAATTAAGTACCTACCTGTCGAACGTAACATAAATTCTAACGAAATGGAAAATAATTGTATATTGCGTTTGGGTAAGGCACCCGTCAAAGGCGATAATTATTATTATTATGTTTATAGTGGTTGGGGGGGGTGGAAATTTCGGAGAAAAAATATAATTCGAACGGATTTTATGAATCTAATAAATTGCATAGTAGGTTATAAACATGTATACATTATCAATTAATTGTTTGTACGAAATCAACATGCGAAACTATAGGGCAGTTCGTATTTAAAAACGGGGAAGGGGTTCGATATCCGAACCCCGTGCGACGGACGCACGGGGCAAACCATAACGATATATACTGTGTACAGGCAAACGAAAGCGCGTGTTGGCATTGTAACACGGTACCCGCGGACGCCGGAGGGGATGAGGGGATAGGACGGGGCACCTGCCCCTGCCCCGGATTTTAAAAATCCAAATATCATTTGTTTCGTGTTAAGTACTTTTTGGTGTTTTAATCGTACTGTTCCCCTCCCTGATAGATTTCCCGCGGTCGCCCGCGATACGATACCCGTTTGTTCGCGAGCACAAATATCTAAACGAAATTAAAACTAACCGGCCGCGTTGTTATTGTAAATTATCGCGCGCAAAACGAATTCAAAATATCGAAATCAATACTCGCGAATATTAATTTCGTATAGATTTGAATATCGGGCTACGGCGTTCGGTGCGTCGTAAATCCTCGTGTAAACCGTGCGACAGTTGCAGCCGGTTGCATAATATTATTGTTCATCCGTAGTGTCGACGCTGTACCTATTGCAATAGAAATCCTAAATTCGCTAGCGCTAGTGCGTTTGAAAAACAAAGCGAAAAACCCGGTTAAATATTATAACGGTTTTTCAAACGTTCTCGCGGTGATAATTTGCGCGCGATTATTATAGCGCGGTATTTACAAAAAAAAAAAAAAATAATAATAATAATAATAATAAAACAAAAATCGTAATACCTACCTATAATATTTATAATATTATTCCGAGACGCACTTATTCGCGAAAATGCTAATATGTAAACGAGAATGCGGATAATTTTAATACCCGCAATTGAATACATTATAATAATACTGTTACTTGAAAAAACAAAAAAAAAAATAATAATAATAAGTATACGGTGACCTATATTATTTATTCGGTTACAATTATTATTGAATATTATCATAATATATCGTCGAACGATACTCGCACGTCTCGATTATTATTCGAGCGATCCTTTCTTTTTTTTTTCTTTTTTTTTTTTTACGACAACCGATTTTAATTTGTACGCGCACCAGCCGTGTGTCGTCTCGACAGTTTACGCGAAGGTGGACGAGTTGCACGCGCCCGCCTACGCACGTAATATCATACGGACACAATTAACTCGGTCGGGTTAAACAAACGGAAAGAGCTTACGGTCAATTAACGGCGAAAAGTGAATAAATAAAACGGACCGCGCGCGTTTGAGTCTGTCCGTCATCGAGTTAAAACGCGAACGAAATTCGTGCACGTATTAATGTCGATGCCCCGCGTGTCGGCCGAAACCGAAAATTGCGCGCGTTCTTGTTCGGTCGAAAACGCAGCGCTCGTGACCGTCGTTCATAACAATGATCAATGCGGACGTTTCGGAGGACGCGCGCGTGCATCGAAAGTCGAATCGACGATGACCGCCGGTCAACGGCGTTAGCAATAAACCGGAAAAGTTAACGACGACAACAACAACATTGAAAAAAAAATCAACTTTTTATCTCGTGTGTATTGTGATATGGACGTATCGTATTGTTACCACGCGATAAACGACGGCGGTCGAACTTAGTGGCGCATTCGGAGGGTCAGGGGAAGGGCGGGGGGAACGGTGATTGAGACGATCGATCCTACTCCCCGAGATCAAAGGATCTTTGATCTGGTCCGGGCGTCGGAAAACTTTTCGTGTAAACGAGTTGTTTTTAAAAATCAAAAAAAATCGCAAAACCATGATTGTCAAAGAGCCGCCGATGGTTAAGATAAAAACAAAAAGAAACATACAGTAGCACGAAAAACGAATGGATACATTTTACTAAGCGATTTCATTGGGAACCGGTAGGCGTGTAATCGAATTTTAATTTATATTTTACGGGCTCTGCCGGCTCTGCAGCCATAATGTCTCGATATTGACGGATTTTCCAAAGAGCCCCTGCAGATTGTAAGTCAACGTTTGTGACCGCCCGTCCAGTGGGTGCGTCGAGGCGGTCGGTTTTTTCGGTGTTCGTCGAAGTTTTCTTAAAGAATGGAAAAAACTGGCAATTTTTCGTACGGTTTCGGACGATTTTCCGGAACTAAAGTCGCGTACGGATATAAATTCTACTGTTCCGCGCGCCATCCTATCCAAATGCCGTCTAAAAACGGCGGACATCGCCCCGTGATACCGGCCCGTACTGTAATAATTCGGCTCATTTCGACGAAACCATATAGTGGCGACGAGGTTATTATATTTTTAAACGGATTTTACCCGACGAAATATCGAATTAATAATATTACGCGGCGTAATCGAATGAATTCGTATTTATTTTTTTTTTTTTTTATGTTTTGCGCGAGTATTGCGTATTTTATTCATATAATATAATAATATTACGATGATTATTATTATTATTATTATTTTTCACTTTTCCATCGCGAAACGCATCATTTCCGGAATGGATATTTACTATCGGGGTTCAAAATAAATTTTAATGGAAAAAAAAAAAAAAACCTATCTGCTAAAATAATAAATCGAAATATTATGGAAAAAAAAAAAAAAAAACGTGTACTTTATATTGTATTCAAAAAATAATACGTGTATCTATATTTATACTGCAATATATGACATTATATACTAACGGCTAATCAATATTCATCAATACGAACACGGTTCGAAAAAAAAAAAAAAATAAAAATAAAAAATGATAATAATGAAACCGTTTCCTACTGTATCCAGGTGCTCTGCAGTTCTGTAGCCCACAAAACTATACGTTATTAGTTTAGCGGACACGATGGGATTATGACAATTTTTCACTGCGTACGCTCGAATTTATTTGAAAACACTGGGTAAGTGTACGCGTACATGGTTTACAGAGTTCGCGCAGGTTTAAGAATAACGTCGAGGTAAACATAAAATATTATGTATATTTTTAGAGGATCGCGGTCGTCGAAAAATATTGGCATTCGGACCGATAAGCTCGTGTACGCGAAACGCAAAGCCGTCCGGGGTTTGACAGATTTTAATTTCGAAAACGGATTTGAATTGATTTACAACGAGTTTACTGGGTTATCGCGGATAGGCGGTTTTAAATATTCCGGTAAAATTGTAAGTTATGTTACGACGAAGCATACGAAAATAGAAAAACGTCATATTATATTTGTGTTCGTCGATATAATAGCTGAAAAAAAAATACCAGATATTTAAAAAACAGCTTCCGTCATAACCCGTGCAATAAACTTTTTGTTGATCAATCATAATACGTTTTCAAAATTAAAATCCGTCAAACCCAATCTTTACGTTTTTGTCCGCGGGATTTTCGGCCATCATATTCGTCTGTAGAAAAAAAAATCTCTTTGACATAACCCATTAAACGGGTCATTTAGACGTAAACGAATTTGTTCGAATTTTATAAAATTGGATTTGAAATCGTTTTGAAAACCGACTTCCACCCTTTTTAACTGCGAACTCGTAAATACCTCAATTTCTGCTGCGCTGTAGTACAAAAAAAATATGCAATTCCGTTTGTTGCTGTACACGTTTTGTAAACACGGGTTTTTTTTTTTTTTTATGTCAAGTTGAATAGTTGAGATTAATAATAATAATAATAAAAAAAAAAGTTATAATTAAATTATATTAAATTTTATAATTAAAAAAAAAAAGACCCTCATCGCCACCTTCCCCGTCGTTCAATTAAAATAATATAATAGAGAATAATACGAGAAAAATAAAATAATAGTATATTTAATATTTTTTTCGAATGGAAAAAACAACAAACCACCTATAAATTTTTCAATTTTTTTTTTATTCGTGTACACGAGAACGTTATTTAAAGACGATATCGATAATACAGAGGATAGTGTATTTCTCTTATCCGGTATTTTATACGATTATTAATATCAAAACGGGCAATATGTGTGTAATTATAGGACGGAAAACCGTCGGCACGTCCCCGGGTGGCCTAACGAACAAACAGACTGCGCCGTTCCCATTTTTTTCTTACCTTGGCAGTTGGCTATCACGACAAATATCCATAAGCACAGAGCTCTCGACTGTAGGAATCCTCCGTCTGCCGCAGCCGTACACATGTCGTATGGGTCCTTTTCAACGCTCTCGGTGTTTACCCCGTTCGTGTTTCCCGTTTCTAGTCCGGACTAACGACGACGACCGACAGTAACAATAACGGCAGCGATTCCGTCATGCTGAAATCGTACGGGGACGGTTCGAAAACGAGGGCGGAGGCGGGTAAAACGCGCGTATAGCGTATAACGGAAAACTGCACGGGCGGTTTATTATTTCCCGATCCTCGAATAACCGCACCGTTGTCAATACGACGGCGACGACCCCGCGCACTTTGACGAGGTGATAAATAAAACGAACGCGGGGCAAACGAAATCAACAACAAAACCGACGAACCCCGCCGAATAATAATAACGTGTGATAATGATAATAACAATTATTGTTATTTTTTATTATTGTTATTATTTTTTATTATTATTATTATTATTATCGCTGTTACCGTCCGTCGAATTGTTAACGAATTGTTATCGTCGGTTTCGTATCGCGACGTATTAATGTTGTTCTCATCGACACCGAGCACACGACACGCGAAAACTGCGTACGAAAACTCCGAAACCTGCGGCGGCGGCGGCGGCGGCGGCGGCGGCGACGACGACGACGACGGCGGCGAGACGGGCACACTACGGGGATTTGTGATTCACTAGCCGACTGTGCCGGTCTCCGCTTTTGATGCCGCGCGCCGAACGCGGGACGGCCTGCCCGATTCTGCGCTTCGATTCGCGACCTCCGAACGCCAAAAACAACACTTTTGCACACCCGCCACATATTATACGGTGTGTGTGCGCGTGTGTGTGCGTGTGTGTGTGTGTGTGTGTGTATGTACGTATACGTATACGCATACACGTATAGTGTGTACACAAATCGCGCGTAAATTATTATTATTATATTGTTGTTTGCGTACCGATGCATATATATATATATATATACATAATAATAAATATGAACAGACACGAGTAGTATTCCGGATAAAGTATTCCGAATATTCTGAAAAATACTTTCTTCTTTTTTTTTTTTTCGGGAAGCATACGGTTCTTTCTCTGAATAGTCGTACTTTTTCTCGGCCTCGATTTCAGAGTGTTTCAACTTCTCGGACATTACGAGCGCAGGCGGTTGTGGGCGGTTATTCGGAAAAGTACGATGACATCGAGGTCAGCAGAGGGTAAAGAAATGAGATTCTGAACGAAGGACGATAAAACGCGTTCGCAACAGTCCAAACGCATCCACCGCTACGCTCAGAGTCTGAAAAATTCTATGGTTTGCGAGTAAAACGAATAAATAGGTATTTCGTTCGACTAAATATGTCGGTACCTGCGTATACAGTGGTCACGGGACACATTTCCGCGGAAAAAAAAATAATCACCATACGTGCCGGTATTGGGTACGCTTAAATTCGTCCTAGGTAAATAAATAATAACGTGTTAACGGGCATTTTATAAGGCCATTCTTCAATTTTCTTAGGAAAAAAAATTATAAAGATTCAATTTATTTAACGCGCACCGCGTTATTATTAACAATGTATACTACTTCCGATGTTGTTCGGAACACTGCGGTTCGATTAACCAATCATACATTTTCTAGATGAAAGTTTAGTTTATCCGTGCACAAAACGCCCTTCGGTTATATTCAACATGAATACCGGAGTTTTGCGTTTTAGAAAACCATACAAAAAAAAAAAAAACAAAAAACAAAAAATGAATAATTGTATTGAAATTCAGTAAATGTATTTGTATAAGTACGAGCCACCAGTTATTGTGCGTAACAATGGATTAGGTAAACATGCTGAGGTCAACGTAATATTTAATAACTTCGAAGAAGAACGTATCGCTATCGCATCACATCAATAGTGGTTATGACTGCAATATGTATTAGATGTTCATAAGCTTGCACAAGATAATACTTTTACCATGATCCAGCAATTTTATGAGAGAATTTTAAGTGAATTTGATTTCCGGTTTTTTTTTACTCATTTTATAATCGATTAGGCTTTATTTTAAAAGCATTTTGAAATTTGGACCCCTATTTCGTGTGTCCTAAACAGGTAAATTCTTTTGATTTTTAATTAAGAACCACAACTTTTCAACGCATATACGAATAGAGAATTTTTTTTCTAAAAAAATATAATATACTCGCCATTCATATCGGACTAACCGTTTAATGTTTAGATCGAAATAGTAGGAAAGGATAATAATGGATTGCATATCTATTTATAAATGATAAATCTATAACTCTTCACTACTCTTCCGGTCTAAACTTTAAACGGTATTTCTTCCTATCGTATCCGGAGAGCCGTTTCGA